ACACACACACACACGCGCGCGCTGTGCCTGCCTGCCTGACTGATTGACTGACTGGCTGAACAACAACACCCAAAGAAACACACAACAAACGCTTGCAGCGGGCACGCGGACACGCCCTAGTGAAACACGGAGGTGTTGGGATTGAAGATTCGCCTCTCTGTTTCTGCGGAAACGCTGCACGTGGTACCCTCCTCCCGCACTCTCTCCCTCTCTCGAGACAAGATGCAAACGACAAGCGCATGCACCGCCAACCCCCCGTTCGACGACGCACGCTCGCAGTCCTAAGTCCACGTAAAAGGGTAAAGCCCGGACGTTTAAAGGCCAGGATGTCAGTCTGTATTGTATTTTGGACCCCACAAAACCCCGGAGCATGCCTCTCATCCATCGACAAGTTGGCCCCCCGGCAACACTTTGAGGGCCCCACTAACATAACGTCACTACTGCATTGGATGTTGTCGGGCTGCTCCGTCAAACAAGCCCCATCTCGAACTCCTGTCCGTAGTAAAATTTTCCCCACTTAGACACAGCGGATGGTGGCAACTGCACAGCGTTAGCCTGTACAGTAGACTGTTGCTCAGCAGTTGTGTCAGCTAATAAAAGAAAATGCCAGTGGACCCAACATCGTAGGTGTGCTCCTTGCTCCAGCTCTACCCCCAACATGCCAAACCTTGGCTCCTACCTATCCTACCTCTACCAACCCCTCAGCATGGCTTTGGCACTTTACGACGGCTGCACTGGGCACCAGGACATGGCAAGCAAGTCTACAACCAAAGCGGCAGGCTCTATGAATCCATGATCAAGTATCCCCTTCCTCGTGGCTTCGACTGCATGCGACCCGAGCTTGTAAAAGGTCCCGTACGGGGACTCAAACTCTCCCACTAGCCGCTAGCTCTCTCTCTCTCTCTCTTTCTTTCGCCAGGCTGTGCTCTCTCTCGCTCTCTCGCTCCCGGACATGAGCAGCGTCCGACCGAAGCTCCCCGGGCCGATGACCTACCCGTGCACTACGGGCTTGGTGAGAGAAAGACTTTCTCTCTTTCTGACCGACAAATTAAGTACGCACGTATGCGTGTGCGTATGTCGTATGTATGCTTGTACGTATGAAGGCCCGCCGCCCTTATGCCATGTATTGATTTGTATATACACACGAACACACACTAAAAACAAACACAGACTCGGACAGAGAGATACACACACACAAACACACACACACACACACACGCATACACACACGCACACACACTTGGAATGACTTTCGATATAGCCGGCGCTATAACATGGGTTAGCAGTTAGCAGACTATAGTCACATCTCTTTCAAGTGCTTGAACATCTGCGCTTGTTCCGCAATGCTCATTCTTCTTCACTTCTTCGGCCTTCTACGAAACAACATTTAGGCGCGCATGTTGGGCGGCCGAACTGCAGCTACGACAACCCAGAGGCATGCTAAAGGAGTGCCTTCGCTGAGTGGTGCCTCCAACAGTCCAACAGCATGCGCCACTCCCCTGGTGCATGCATCTTGAAACTGTTACGTGCATGGATGTGTACGTACACACATGTATACGGCGTGCGTGCGTGCTTGAGTGCGTGCGGTGACTCTGTCAGTGTGTGTGTGTGTGTGAAGCCCTGTCACAAAGGGCGAAAGGTCTGCTTACAAGCACCGTAGCACCACACATATTCCCCTTTTCTGTATGGTACGATATGTGTATGCATGCAGTGTATACTCATCTATACTCTATACTTATGAAAAGACAACGGGGGCCATGCATGCATACTTACTTGCCTGGATGATCCATACTTGGCACCTGCATGCACACTGCCCCGGGCACAATACAGTATAACGTTGGGTCATCTGTTGCGAATTCTAAGCCCGTAAACAGGTTTATCAGAGCGGCTGGAAACCCAGCCTGTTGCCGGCAGCCGTTCTCCGCCACGCACGCACATGGGACATTGCACAGCCTCCGATGCCAGGGTCTACGAAAAATTAAACCGCAGAATAGAGCACAATCGATCGGAGCCATGGTACGACAGTACGCCGTGGTCAATAGGTCGGTTCTGTCCTTCTCTGCCGCGCCTCGCTCGCCTGGGGACATTCGCAACGTGAATCCCTCCCGGTAGCCTGTCCAAGGAAGATCTCAGCAAAGGCCACGATACGAATGCAGTCGTACAACTGTTAGCGCACAGGATACGCCTGCGCGGCCATCATACCTGGAATTTCGGTCTGTGCTCCAAGATTGCGCGACCTGGCTGTGCACATTCGACTGCCTGATGCCGGTCTGACCCCTGGAAGCTTGTCGCTGGGAGCGTGGCATCATGTTGTGGAACCTCGGTCATGTTGAGACATGAGCACCAGACTCGATACAGTAGCAGCGCACAGCAGCAGGACTTGTCCAGAACTGTCTCTGTAGCTCGTGTAGAACAAGTAGTGGTAAAGAATATGCGAGCCTAAACAGCTCTCGCTAGTATTGGATAAGCCTGATTGCAATCACCGTGGCGCGAGGCCACCGTACGAGCCCAACAGCCTTTGAAGCCATGTGCAACCCTTAAACGATCTGACGTAAAATTATTGTGAGCCCTCATCACCCCAATCCGAAATCATGCGCACCTTAACCCCGGTTATGATACTAACACACTCAGCTTTGAAGCCTACAGCGTGGCTCAAACCTAAATGAGCCTAAAGCTTCAGCCGAAAAAATCGAAAACCGACAGGCCCGCGTCGAAAAACCATGTAAAAGGATCCTCAAGCCTAAACAACCCAAACTGAACTGCGTATTTCGACCTCGTCAGCGAGACCGTCCGTGGCCGCAAACCGCTCCCATTGAAGCAGTTCACCAGCCTGCACTCGTTATTCGGGCTGCCAGTAGGTTCGAGGGTTTCAAGGTCAGGCTGTGCTGTGGTTCGCTACTACACTTGGCAATTGGCAATTAACATTATGTTCACGTGGCCTTCTCTCGCGGCGCTCAACTTATGGAGTCGCTGAGCGTTTTCCCCCAGTTATTGTGCAAGCATCCCCCCCATGTAAACACGAAATCCACCGGATATCATCACCGCCGTTTGAAGCCTATGGTTAAATTAGGCAGCTGCCTACTGTGTAACTGTGAGTGAGAGAGAAAAAGAGAGAGGGAGAGAGAGAGCGACAGAGAGAGATTCCACCAATATTGGGGCCTTAATAATTAGAACAAGAATTTGGGGCCCATTATACTATAGTTATAATAAAGAGCCTCCATGATTTATGCCCCTACATTATACAATCGTAGCAGTCGAGAGCAACCAAGATCAATCACCTTCCCCAGCAACACAAACACTTACGCAGACATTCTTTTGTGCGACCAAGCCACTCCTGTCCAGTTTTGTTTTGAGCCAATGCCATTCGGCATCGTAACACTCGATAGTGCATCATGATCATTTTCAACACAGTCCCTTGATCCTGACTTGAGCTGGGGATCATTGAAAAATTTAACCATTACACGGCAGCATCGCGAAGCGATCAAGAACTAGTCGAACAGAAACAATGGGTTACCTCAGGCTCCGTTGGACTCATTCTAGACTTTTGGCTCGACTCGGCCGCCTGTTGCACTGTTGGGCAGCAGGAATGGCGCAGCAGCCAAAGTTGCCCCGACGGCGACTGCCACGCCGACTGTGTCCAGGAATGATGTTCCATTTGCGGCACACCACTTGCTGAATGAGGAAATGGTGTGCCCCATCGTATGAGCCGGAATGGCCCGGTGAGTCGCGAAACGGCGACTGCCATCACCAGAATGGACTCTTGCCCGGACATCAACCGAATGTGGACCCGACTGGATGAATACGTGTCAATGGTGGCGGACCGCGGAGAATGACAAGAGGCGAATTCGCGGACAGAACGTCGAGTGCACAGATTGGACTGGCAGAGGCAGTGTTTCGCCGCGGATGCGATGAGGACACTGGCCCGCTGCTGTCACTGTTGATCCCTGGGATGCGAAGTGGAGGAATGAGTGGAGGCCGATTTGAGCATCCGTATGGGAATTCGATTGGCCCAATGTCCCCGCTGAGCCTGCGAATGTCCTCACTGGGGGTTGTTGCACCTGCCCAGAATGACTCGAATGGCGTAAGGAAGCCACCCGCCCTTGGGTGATGAATGGCACTGGACAGCAACGAATGAAATTGGCGAACTATTTCAATCCCCAATTCACTGTCTGCATCTCGACCTTCGAGGCGAATGGTCAGAATGGCAACAATTGGGTGTGGATGCTGGCACAGGAGTCGATTGCCAGCATGGGCATCCCAACATGACTGTGTTCTCGCCGAAGTGTTTGCTATGCAGGATGAGGCCATCGAAAGGTCCCGCCCCAGGCAAAAGTGAATGGTGCCGGCCTCTTGGAATGGAGACTGACGGGCCGCACCATGGCACCGCTGTTGCAATGCAACGGTGGTGGATTGGAGCATGACTGCTCTGCCTGCGATGAGTTGTATGACAATGAAAATGATGACGAGCCGAAGGAGCAGAAACCTAATTTCGTGGAATGCTCCTGCCTGGCGCAGAGATTGTCCTCCGCATGAATGCCAAGGGCATGAAGTGAGGCCGCCGAGTGAGCCCGGAATGAATTTAGGAGTGCAAAAGCAATGCCGCATGTTTTGCAATGTGGAGTCTGTGTCGGAATCTTGAAAGACGGTTTCTGTGGATTGCAGAATCGGGATTCTCGGGTCCAATGATGTATGGATCAATGCCCGACTGCACAAGATTGCCAGCATCGCACCCCCGAATTTCACAGGCACAGGACTGAGGTCCGAGCCCAGCCAACATGTCCAGAATGTAGCCAATGGTCCTGGAAGCTTTTGCTGCGAATAATTCTTGATCGCTTCGCGGATGCTGCCAGTGCAAAGAGTACTGTTTGAATGATCCTTGACTAAAGTCAGGATCAAGCAAGGGACTGTGCTACATGAGGAGCCCAATGTAACCCCAAATGTCCACGATGCACTTATGAGTGCTATGATGCCGAATGGCATTGGCTCAAGACTGGACAAGGACTGGCTTGGTCGCAGAAAGGAACGTCTGCGTGAGTGGGTGTTACTTGGGAAGGTGATTGATCTAGGTTGCTTTAGGCTGCTAGGATTGTATCCTAGAATTTTGCACTCTCTCTTCTTTCTCTCTCTCTCTCTCCCCCTGTCTCTCTCCTGGCTTGCTCTTGATTTGACACTGACCAGGCGGATCCTAATTATGTACGTAGTTCGTGCTTCGTGCAAACAGATGACACATGACGGTAATGACAAAACACGTCCCTCTAATTGTAAAAATATCGAATATCACAACCACGTTTCGAATTTTTATTGGGTGCGCCGCCCTCTCCACCCTATCGGGGCCTCTCTTCTCGAACCGAGATTGCAGAGCATTTTCTGCTAGTCGAAACAAACCCCCAAACTCTTTCAAGGCTGCTTGCACTGAACAAGCTTTCCTTCCAAAAGAAAACTTTGGGACTAGTGTTTGCGCCGTGTGATTGGGTTCAAGGTGCAGGGCTTGGGCCTTTTTCTGCCGATCGCTCGGCTGATAAGAGATTCCATGCGTCTTGGCAAATGTCTTGTGGCAATCGCTACTCCGTGAGTCTGTGAGTTGTAAGTCTCGTGTTGGAATGGTTCCAGATTGGAGGGCATTCGGAAGCCTTATGGTGTTCTGTTCCATGCACACAACTGTCTGCTTGTTGCCCAAGACATTTATTGAATTCATTGGCTACATGCGGAAGTAAAGGGCTCCTGCAATTAAATACTTGTGCGGTTTAGCAGGTGCAGCAGTTTGGGAGTTCAGCTGCCTGATTGTAGGGGGATTCTCTTCGGCCCTGCATTTAGAAATTAATGTTGTTCAGTTGCCTACAACAGCTGCACAAATTCTGGCACCTCGACGTCTTGAAGCCTTGCAGTGACGCCTGCCGCAGGAAGGCACGGACTTGTCAATTCACCCAGCTCTGACTGTATAGCACCGGCACATACCAGTACTGCTAGTGGCAGTCGTCGTCGAAGTACTGGTCCTAGAAACTAGCGCTGGTGCTGGTGCCGTTACTGGCAACTAGTAGTAGTGGTTAGAAGTAGTGGCTAGTAGTAGTAGTAGTAGTAGTAGTAGTAGTAGTAGTAGTAGCAGGTGGTGGTGGTGGTGGTGGTGGTGGTGGTGGTGGTGGTGGTGGTGGTGGCGTCGTCGTTGTTGCTCTAGCCGTT